CGTCTGATTGAGCTCAAACTTTCAGCAATTATTCTCCTATATGTCAGTTATCGTTGGCCATAGCGCGATGTCATATCAGTGAACAGAAACAGAATTAGTGGTTTCCTAAAGAACCGAGTTTCTGCTCCGGAATCGTTAGTTTTTCGAATACAGAGACATTTTTGCGCAAATCCAAGGTGATATTCGGAATTAGCTCATCAAACTGCATCTAACCATGTGTAATGAAAAGCGTTTCTTTGAAAAAAATGTTGACCTCCATATAAAAGAAGTTCAAAAAAATGAGTCATATCGTAATTTGTGAGCGCTACAAAGAGTTCTCACGCAACTGAGCTCAGCTTTTTACTAACTGTGTTCATCTATGTCAATTTTTCGTTAACTATGTACACCGTATCGCATCGGCGACCATATACTAGGCTAGGGATTCCTAAAAGACCCTGGCTTTTGACTCCAATTCCTTTTTCCCCCCAAATCCATTTTTTAATCCTGAAAATAACATCTCGCCGAGAAATCAAAGCGATTTTCTCAATCAGCGCGTAAAACTACGTCGAATGGTGCGTGGCACGATATATTTTCTAACAAAAAGTTTTTTTCGAAAACTTTGGCAAGGGTACCCCACAGGTGATTTTTCCAAAAAATGTTTTATTTTCTTAAAGATGATTTTCTAGGCGATACATAACCACTTCTGAGCAATAAAAACCTGTTTTAGAGCAGAAAAGTTACATGTCCGCCTGCTGTACGAAAGTTGCCCACTGTGTAGGAATGTACTTAATTAAATTGATAGAATTAAATGTTTTTTTTTGCTTTATTTGAAATTTTATTCATTTTTTACAACAAATTTATCATGTTGTAGTAGTGGGATATGTTCGCACACGAAACAAGCATTGAGGTCGTATTATAAAAATCCATTGAGAAAATCGAATGATGAGAACAACGAGTATTACAATGGATACTGAAAATGACCACTAACCAGGGTACTAACTTATGCCAGATAAAATCTTTGCGAGCAGAAGTAATCTCTGGCTTGTATTTTAGTGGTTGTCGTCGAGTATCGGTCGGATCAATAAAGCACGAATATGTGCTGTTTATCTGCAGAGATCGAAAAAATGTAGATTAACTGCAATCAATGATATTTTCATACGTATACTCACCATATCCGGTTAGAACGCTACAGATACCGAGCATTCTTCAACTTGTTGCTTTGTACTGTTTCCATTTGAACTAACTTCGAAAGAAATGAAAAACGAACTCTTGATAATGGTGGATGAGAAACTTTTGTCTTCCTGAGGACACGAGATAATTTGGTCGATATGGCAAATTATTCTCATGAAGAACTTTTTCATATTAATTACATATTGACGATACGTCGAGTATTCTCTCGTTATAACGCGAACGCTAGCAAATAAAATCATACACGCACTTGCTATGCACACAACAAAAATAATTAGTTCGCTTGTTTGTCTCAAAATTGAACAGGATAATGCCATTCCTATGAAATTATGTGTAATCGAATCTATTCACGTCTTACATAGATAGACCAACCAATTTTTTTACCTTAGGTCACCCGAAGCAAGTCTCTTATCTTAGAGATCATCGTATAGAATAAGGTCATTGTCTAAGCAATACTTCAAAATAACTTTTCCGTTCGTGACTCTGAAGTCGTCATATGTGAAAAAAAAGACAGTGCTATAGTAACCTTTGAAACTGTTGTTTTTGATGAATGTTGTTTTTGATGAATGTTGTTTGTTTTAAGATTGAAATCGATGTTGGGTTTATGATCCGTGTTTGATATATCTGAAAACGCTTTATAAAGGCATTGCATGAAACATTTTTATTAATACCAAATATTTTCATAATGGGGTATCGGTATGGATTTGTGAGCCTTCTCTTGACCCACACCCTCAGGTACTATCTACTAAAGTTCATATAATTAACACCGTAATAGACAGTTAGATGATGGCGCATACAGCAACCTAATGATATATATATATTTTCATCAAAGCTAAAGCATTTCAGACGGCGAATCTCATCCTTTATCAGACATTTATATCATTATGATTGGATGCGTTTGTATGTTTTTAGGTGTCTGATAGGAAATTGCTCAATGATATGTCATTTCAAACAATCTTCAAGATAGTTCATAAAAGATATCGTAGGAAAGCTATATTGAAAGAGTGAAATATTCTCAACAAGTATTTATTCTGATACCCGCTCGAAAAAACAACATTATAAATATCTCTATTATACAGACTCTGGATACTAGACCTGAAAATAGGCCGTTTGATCTAAAGAGATTTTCTTCGGGGTCATTGACTCGAGCTTTCTTTCTTTTTCAACAACGATTTTTCTCACATAAGAAAACATAGAAAAAGTCTGATTTTAATGGATGAAACTTTCTTAACCACTCAAAAAAGACTAATTTTGAAATTGGTCAGTGAACATTTTACTCTACAAAACTTTTCGTTAATAAATGATAGTCTTCACGGAGTTGCAGTGCTCATGAATACATATTGCTCTCTCGGTTAAATAATGATTGAAATTATCTTTCATACCATTGTTTTAAGCATTTATATTGGCTGACATTGTTCAACTCATGATTACTATGATAATAAACTTTTTATTTTGTTCGCGTAAACAGAAAAATATTTTTAATAGTGGCATTCTGATATAGACGACGAAATTAGAAAACAAAAGTACTTAAAATAGTCAATAAATCCGAAATCATTTTTTAAATCAAGCTGGGCTATAGGTGTGAGGGCGAGTGAATGATCACTGATCTTCTCTTCGACTAAATCCACATTGATATCCTCTAGTCAATTATTAGAGTCACCCGGTACAAAACGTTTGTTATTAAAAGAAGAATGTGATGTTCATACAAATGAAAGTACTGAGTTACTTGCCCCAAACAGAACAAATATTCAATTGATAAAATCAGCCACGAAACTTTTCATTTCATATACTAAATAATCCTTCGTTATTAGGAAAATGAGTATCAATATTCGATGAGTTAAAGAATGTGCTAGAATTAATTACCATGAATTGATATCAGACAGTTAAGGTTGCCGTTTTAGTGCATTACATATTCAAATTGTAAATGGTGAACTTGCATTTGATAATGTATATCATCATAGTATTCGGTTTCCAATGATTTATGCATACAAAGGTTGAATATGTCTTTTATATGAAGATCAAAGAGATTCATTCATTTTTTTTATATAGGAGATTGTGTATTGAAACCTCCTCTTATTCGTTATTGAACATCTGAAAGCTTTTCTGGTCTGAAAATAGTCAAAGTAGCTCGTCTAGCAGTACATGATACTTAAATCGATCATAATATGATTTCCTAAGTGCAGTGGAATTATCTGATTGTGATTATGGAAGATAAAGTTTTCTTAAATATCTTGTCACCGAAAGAAAAGATTCAATAGCATTGATGACAGTCGTCTGGTTTTGACTATAGGGACACAATATTGGTCAGCCATCGAAGATTTGGCTGGCATTACAATCATTTGAAGCATCAATAATATTAAATATCAAGTGTGTGTTAGCACTATGCTGAATTTGTCTTTATATTCGTGCTGAATGGACACATGTCACACGGGCAATAATATGAAACAAATGATACAATCATTTTTTGTTGTGACATTGTATTGAAACACAATATTGTACAAGTAAATGATAGACTAAAAATTAATTGAGTCAATCGATTACGTTTTATGGGTGACCGAAAAAACGAAAGACTCGTAGAACTATAACGGAAAGTTCATTAATTCTATACCTATCATCATAAGAAACTCTTAAGACAATAACAATAATCAAATGAAAAGAAGTTTGTTCAGAAGAGTCCATTGTTTATATTATTTATGCATAGAATGACGACGATTCGATATAATATTTCTTTTTCAGATAGTCGACTACTTTATCACATAGATTTTCCTCCAATTATTTTCTGTCTTTGTGTTCTTTTCAAAACAGTATTAAGGTCAATCTATATGTGTAACGGTCAGACAAGTTTTTATTTTCATGATTCTTTTTAATAAACTAATGGACCAATACTATTTCATTTAAAGAGTGTCTCAAAAGTTTTGATTCCCTTCAAGTAATGCTCCTTTGTTATATATTTTTTTCGGCAGAATAGGCTAATATTCATAACATATAGACTAGACGTTTAGATGTACTCTACGCTAGAATTTCAGCTTTCTACCTATTATAGTCACAGAGATATAAGTAACTTAAATTTCATTGAAATGTTTCGGAATAACGGGTAGGCCAGAATAAATGACCACGTTTTCTATTTTATTTTTTTATCATCTAATGCATTAAATTAAAAAAACAAAACATACCACAAGATGCAGCGTGAAAAGCTTTACTATCTACATAGTGAAGCTTATTTTAATTATATACCTTTTTATATTCAAAAAATTTGTGACCAATTTTCCATGCCGCACAGTTGGTTGAAAACAATAGATACACAACTAAAATAAGCTTCACTATATATGTTGTAGAACTTTCCACTCTGTATCTTGTGATATACTCTGTTTTTTAATATAGCGTATTAGTTGATGAGAAAATGAAATCCAAAATGTGGTCATTTATTCTGGGCTACCCGTTAATTATTTCAAAAAAACTCCTATGAATTTTAAGTCACTTGTATCTCTATGACTATAAATGATAGAAAGATGAAATTCTAGCGTAGAGTAGATCTAGATGTCTAGTATATATATGCTGTGAATATTACCCTATTCCACCGAAAATATATATAACAAAGGAGTATTACTTGAAGGCAATTAAAACTTATGATACATCCTTTATTCATGGATTATGTTGTTTGAAAGTTTTCATAGACTTAGAATAAAAATGAACAAAGGTACAAAACATCTTGCCAATGATGGTGGTAAGTATTATGTCTTTTCATCTCACTATCCAAAACGATATTTGTCAATTTTAATGAATCATTTTAAAATAAATAAAAAAATGTTGATTTATAATTTTGTTTGTTAGACATGGATTCATCATCAATGAAACACTTTCGTCGTTGTGTAACATGTTTACTTGATTTACCAGATGAAATATTTCTTCTTATATGTCGTTATCTATCACCGGCTGATGTTCTTTATTCATTTTACACACCTTCGAAACCTGAAAATCGTCTTCATCGTATTATTTTTGATTATTATACAAAGATAAAACTTGGCGGAATAACAAATAAAGAATATATTTATTTATCAAGTTTATTTTGTTCTTCAAAAGATTCTCCTCGACTTCAATCATTGGTATTAAGTAATGAACATGCTACTAGTCTAACACAACGTTATTTTATTGATATATCTGCGAGTATAATTCAATCAATGCTTACCAATTTGAAACATCTTAAATTAATTGATTGTTTGTCAGAAGATCTTACATTTCTCTATATTTATATTTCAAATATGAAACAACTGGAATCTTTTCATATAACTTATCGCAAACTTGATGAAAAAACAAGTATGTCTATTTTTTGATGATGAGATGAAAACAATAAAATGAGCATCGTTGAAGAAACTAATTTATTGATGTAACAAGAATAAATCCTCTTTTGAATACATGAGAAAATTTGATTGAGTGATTTCATTTTTGATGATAGTTAATAGAAAAACAAGACAAAAAACTTTCATCTTGTTTAGATATGATTTTTTGTCAACGGTCTAATGTATCTATTAATCAATTTTTATTCGATAAAATACTACCTTCTTTGAACACTGTCTCAATTGAACTTAATGATGGACTTATACTAAATAAATCATTAGTATCTCATCATAATCTTCGGCATATTAATCTTAATTTACAAACTATTGATGATTTATACATATTACTCGATGGACTTGTACCAAATGCACAAACTATGATTATTAAAATATGCCAATCAAGAATACTCAGTATGTAAAGAATACATATGTTATAATAAACAATCTTCACCCTATTTTTATAATATTGTCTTGAATATTCGTTTTTGATTACCGATCAGTCGACATTCTGAGACATCCGTTATTATGCTATAGATTACAAACAGTAAAATGATGAAAATTATCTTTTGAATTTATGTAGGAGAGAATAATTTTATTTCAAATACCTTTTAAATGATCATTATTTCAATTTTTGAATATGTTTTCTATTTTGATAAATTTCTATTTAAGATTGTCTTCGTCCTAAAAATACATTATCATGTCCAAAATTAATTGAATTTACATTGTTGGAACCTCGTATTGGAATTGTTATTGATAATATAAAATGCATTCTTGGTTGTATGCCAAATCTAATCAAATTAACATTGAGTATTCGTGATACACCAGATTCAACATTTTGTCGTGGTCCTCTGTTCGAATCAATATTAAATGAAGATGTTCGACATCTTCGTCAATTCGATTATACAATGACACATAGAATTGTTGATAATACATTAATTGAAGATTTTATTCAATGGCCAATGGAAGTTGTATTTTATGAAAATGAAAAATGTAAATGGATACATATTTATTCATTACCATGGCCATCAAATGATGATGATAAACGACGATTACCTATAATCAATGGTGGATCAAATCTATCAGTAAGATCAAATGTTAAAAGATGTGAATATATGGAACATGTTGTGATAAATAAACGATATGAATTACTTCAATTAAAAACACATTTTCGTCGAGCTTGTCAAATAACAACTTGTATATTAATTGATATGAAATTACCCAAACGAATTTCTAAAGTTATTCTAACAAAACAAATTCGTAAGATGCTTTTATCAAATAAATTTTAGTCAAGTAAAAACAAAACAAGGTTTTCAACATTTTATTTTAGCTATTAATTCAATAGATACAATTATTCAACCTTCTGTTCGTCATTTAATTATTCAATATCGTTTAACTTCAGAAAGAGATATGTCAATACTTGCTTGTCAATTTCCACATGTTAAATATTTAGAATTATTATTTCCATTAGACAAAAGTTCATATATTCATTGTTTAAAAAGTCTATTCAGCCGAGATGAAAGTACTGAAAAGATATATTGTTTTTGGTCTGAATTGATCAATTTTTCAACAGAATTGCGTTTTAATCAATTAGATTCAATTTGGAATAATCAAAGTTTTAAGGAATGGATTATTCAAAATACGGATTTAAAATATCATCAATGTCCGTTTTATGTTCATTATTCAATTCCAAGAATATCAATATGGATTTGAATTATTTCAATTTCTGTTTAATATCAATAGAAATCTAACCGATGAATGTACATAGTTCTTGCTTTAGATTAAATATTTGTTTCATTATGAAAAAAAACTGTTTATTGTTATAGATGATTTCTTATATAAAATCAAATAAATTGATTCTTGTCCTTCTTGAATTTTAATTAAAATTAAAACAATTATTATTTGCCATTATCGTTGTTTATGATGCTTTCAATATAATATTGAAAAAGCATATGATAGCTTTGTCAATGACCAAAACGGAGCCACATTAGAATCACCGATTTTCTCAGCAAAACTAATGTTAACAGCACTAACATTGATTTCTCAAATAAGACCATCAATTCACAGAGCCTGAGCGAATAGAACGGTGTCATTCTCTTTGAATCTTTATTAACCAATGCAATTAACTATACCGAGCGTCTCAAAAGTTCCTTCGTAAAAGTTGTTTTTTTGTTTTATTTCACTATTGATTAGACTTCATCGAATAAGTTCTTTAACTTAAACACAAAAATTTAGCCTATTTTCTCTCTCTCTTCAGCAATACTCATGGATGATTTCGATTACTCAACCACGCGAAGCAATTAAACATCAAAATACTTTGTAATGTTTTTCTAGAAAAAGAAAACAGACAAAATTTTTCTATTTCGGCTAAAGATCTCAGCTTTCAATAATGCCTTGAAAAATTGTTCCTAGAAATAAAAACTGTATATTTATCTATTATCCAAAAACAAAATTATTCAATGAGGTTTAGTCAATGGTGAAATGAAACGAAAAAACTTTTAGGAAAGGAATTTTGGAACACCTTGTATTCAATAAATCAAATGAAATTTTCCAAAACTCTGAAATAATATGTTCATTACGAATACAGCGGATGAGAACACCACATCGTCAGTTGTGTCACGCTACGTTGTTTAAGTTTAGTCAGTTTAGCTTTGACTTAGTCAATAAAATTCAATTTCTTTTATCTTTTGTTCTCTATGGATACTTGTTCTTTCAAAGTGTTAAAGGATTATCGGCAGAAATGAAGATTGATGGCAAGAGAAAAACAACAGACTTCAAGAGACTTCATGGTTTATCCATTGACAACAGATTCACGTTTTGACAACTTACTTCATTGTTCATATTTTATAAGATAAAAACATACTGGTTATCAGTGACGTAGCCAGGAATCTATAAGTCATGGGCTATTTCTCGGCTAAATTATTTTGAGGAATGGGCAGCAATGGACAATTAAAAATTAATTGGGCTGCAATTTTTTAAACTTATTGCCATGATAAAAACCGATGTTATTGAAAAGATGTTCATTACTCTTAGCCAAGAGGGGAGCTTCTTTGCTTTTGTGAAACACGATATAAAAGGAGTGTTGAAGTGTATAGTGGTAGAAATTCGGATCCTACTCTCCCACAGTGAACAGAAAAAGCGGACCAGAAGCAATTTTTTTCATGATTGCAGCTAATAACTTAATATTTTGTGTATATATAGCTCACACTTCATAGCAATTATATGAGCTTATCCAACCTCTCTTGCTCGAAAGACTCCTGAAAAATTAAGTTTTCGACTGTCAAAAACTGCAAATTAGCACAATAAAAAGGAGTTATTCCATTATAATGTTGTTTAGCAAAAACGAGACAACAATTTTGTTTTCATATTTTTGATACAGTTATTAACTATGTATTATATAAACCTGCCATGGACTAATTACTCTTCAAAAGCCTGAAGCAGGTTATCATCAATAATTTGTTTCCAAGGGTGTGGGTGTGGATATACGTGGAGAGAAGATAAACGCCTACACCCACCCACACCCACGAAGAAATATTCCCAGATGTACATTCGCTTTTGAAACGGGGCTTAGTGCATCGTGTAGGCCTTAGTAAACTATGAATACCCTAAAAAGAGTTCATGCCCATCGCTTGTTTCTAGCGAGATATCGAGATTTTAGTGAATTTTCCTACAGGACCCCATATTTGCAGAAAGGCCATATTTTTGAATTTTAATCTGAAACCTTGCTCACATAAACATCTCAGCTCGACTAGTGTGCATGAAAAATTTCACACCTTTTGGACAAAGTCTCTCCGAGATACGAAGCTTTGAAAAAATGCGTGCTTTATACACTATCTTTGGAAAACGGCCTATACATTGGAAACTTTATATCTCGGAGAGACTTTGTCCAAAAGTTGTGAAATTTTTTATGCAAACTAACCTAGCTGATATGTTTATATGAACAAAGTTTCAGATCAAAATTAAAAAATATGGTCTTTCTGCAAATGTGGGGTCCTATAGGAAAATTCACTAAAACCTCGATATCTCGCTAGAAACAAACTATGGGCATGAACTCTTTTAGGATTTTCATAGTTCACTAAGGCCTACAAGATGCACTAAGCCTCGGCTCAAAAGCGAATGTGCACCTGGGAATGTTTCCTCGTTAGATGTAGAAAGACATCTATTCAAAACGAAAAGAATTTTTTAGACTGTGATATCAATCTATCGCCCCTTCTAGAAACTATTATAAACTGAAATGTGTACTTCTCACTTAATCTGTTTGAAATATATTTTTTACAGCGTGTTAGGAATGTTAAGATGATCAAATATTTCACGAAAAGCAATCTTTTTCATTATCAACTTATGATTTCTACTAGATATCTCCTTTTTACAGATCCGTAATATTGTCTTAAAAGTGCATCTCAAGGGAACAAATATACTTAAGTGTGTAGAAAAGCATTATAGGTCTGTTTTATAAAAATTAATTTTTTTCATGAGTATCCGGAAACCAATACCAAAACCAAACTCAAAACTCGGTCAAAACCAATACCTTCAACATCAAAACCATATCAAAACCAAGCGGTTTGGCTTTAGTGCATGTCTAGGTGTGGGTGGGTGTGAATGTCGGTTTGGATGTGAAGATAAGCAACACACATAGCCACAGAGCCACACCCACACCCTACCCCATCCACACCCTTCACTATTTTGTATTTTCGCTTCTTTTTGGCCGAAAAAACCGTTCACTAAACGGACACCAAATTCTTTGAAAAAATTATCTGTTCACAAGTGATTGGATATTGGGTCATACATTAGTACCATCATGTCAGATCGACATCTTAATACTGATGAAATCGAATTCGTTTTATGGAATAATTCCTAACGTCCTCAAATGGTACGTATGAACCAGTGATATAAGTATCTTCCTATCTTATTATGAAAGTATTAGTATAACTCCCCCTTCGCCCCCCCCCCCCCCAACATTTATTAAGACTTTTCATAATATCGTGTCAATTTCCATTATGTTTAGTTTGATTTTAGCAACTTGTTTTATTTTTCATTTTGATTTTTACATTTTGCTTCGTCATTCTCTTTTTGCTACAACTGATAAATCCAGAGTCCTGGTGAATTGTTCATCATATTAATAAATAACACGAAACGTGTCAGCAAAATTAGCTCTGGACTAAACACATCTATTTTATATTTTATTATTCACAAAGAATTGGTTGCTGAAAAGCAAAAATTGAGACTAGTAGATTGATTTGTACTAGAGAAATATAAATCAATCTATTTATTATTTATGAAATCTGAAAGTCTCTTGTAAAATTTTTTCATCATTCATCCAGAATACAATACTGACAATGCCTGCGAGGTTGAAAAGCATATGAAAGTTAGATGTCAATGTTAAAAACAAATAGGTCATTAATATGTATGATCATACCTTTCAGAAAAATTGGCATTAACTTTATAAATTTATTGCAACGTATTACGAATTTCCAACATGTTATTTTAAAAATAATAGGTGAAATTCACCTATGTTTTCTAAACTGGTGAAAAATTCGCGGAATACCAAGCGTACAACTGAAGCAAAACTCCGAATGTTATGGTGGAAAAATTTCTATATCTAGGGACGATGTGATTACTTAGGACCAGACGAATTATCTCATTCCATTCTATTCAGAGCTCTGAATAATGTCAGCCGTAATCCTAAATTATATCGAAAGAAGAAGCTAAAAATACCAAAAGTAAGATTTCTTAAAGCAGCCATTAGTTAAATGATCAGGAAAGGATGAGCTATATGTCTTTTTTTGAGTACAACCATGCTTTTAAATCTGATTTTCGAGCCAGGCTTTCAATAGCATAGGCAGCTGCTTGAACCATTTTTTTATAACCCAATACATTGATATTCTGAATTGAATCACACATTTGATGATAACATGGATCATGAAAAATATTTGCAAGACCACCCTGACCTTGACCAAGAGATTCATCATATCGATCACGTTCTTCTTGTGTTTTGATCTCATTCGCACCAGAGAAAAGACCTCCTACAGGTATATCATCCATTAAAAATGCAACATAATCACTCCCATATTCGAATTCAATATAATCCCAAGGTAGATTCTGAGCAATAAACCATTCGCGAAACATTTCTGAAATTTTGAAACTAGCACTAACAGCTGACTGTAATGTGTCATTTTGAGCTGTTCGAGCATCATAAATACCGAATCTAAAATTTGGCGAGCCAAGCATATCGAAGTTGAGATAGGCTAAATAGTCGGTGAGACGTTCACCAACTATAGTCGAGTTTCGAGCTTGTGCAACATGAAACTCTGAACCAAAAAGTCCGAGCTCCTCAGCACCCCACCAACAGAATCGAATACGATACTCATATTTAGTATAAGCAGATGTCCGAAAGAGGCGAGCCAAGGTAGTAGCCAAAGCCAAAATAGCTGCACTGCCACTTCCTATTAAAACTCATTAATGCTCAGTTTTTAGACATGATGTTAAACTTACCATTATCGTTAATACCAGGGCCAGATCGCACGCTATCACTGTGACTACCAATGACAATCGTTCGAGTAGGATCACCAGTAGATGTATCAGCGCAAATGTTGCTAACAGGAACTGGCTTATTATCAATTAATGAAATACTGAGAAGAACACCTACATTGTTTGCTGAAATTCGAGTCGCACTGACAAGCCTCTCGCCGAGATTGAACGAGAGTGAAAGCACTGGTATAGAGTTATTAGGTCCGAGATAAACAGACATAGGCTCCATGCGAGTAGACGATGTTCCATCATTGTAAAAAAGAATAGCTGATACATTAAACTTAGCAGCTAGCGCGCTTGTTTCAATGAAAGAGCATTGACCACGTTTGACTAAGACTACACGACCTGTTGCTGGTGGAGCTGCTGCTAACCAATCGGCAACTAAACAGCCAGCATTTGGAATGACAGTCATTGGAATGAAGTTCGAGAAATTAGCTGCTCCTGAATAATGAGCTACTCTGAATTCGGTAACCGAATTATCCATTGAATATGTATGATTTGTGATACTTTCTTCAATCGACGTATGAAGAATAGGAGTCTGTGTGAGTACAAAATCTGTTACTGGGAAAAAGTTTTTAGTAATTTTAAAATCCGTATAAGCCGATAGATAGTCTGTCAAATAGTCAATTGTACGATTGAAGCCCACTGTATTGATAGCACGAGTTCCATTGGATATCGAGGCAATACGTTGTAGTTCATTTAGATGTGTCATGACTTCGTCAATGTAGATGGATTCAGCAAATTTAGAATAAGAATTTTGTTTGTTTTGATACTGATCATTGTTAAGGATTGATTTTGCCGTAGCCAATGGATAACAGATGACACAAAATAATATCAATACAACAGTGGCTATGAAATGTGTTCTCATTTGAATTATTCTATCAATGTTAGTCGAATTTATCGAATTGAATACCTGATAACCAATCTTGATTAAGTCATAGAATACACATTAAAAAAATATCTGTCAGTATATGTCATCTAAATGCAAAGTTGATATTTACAAACAAGATTACTGAAAGAAAAGCATTACTTCATTTGTTTTGATCTTATTGTGTTATCATTAGGCCTATGTTTTATTCATTGATCTTAACATTTTCTTTGAATATTATCGTCTCACATTGTTTTAATATGCATCATTTTTGTTGTCCTTCATTTGAATATTAACTAAGGAGAAGATAACCAAATACTTTAAAAATATCACAGCAGCTGTAGAATGTAAATTTCCAACTTAGTACGTATTTATTTTTTAAATCGGTTGAACAGAATGGTAAAACATATATACGATTATTAATGACAATTAAAATTCGGTCCTAATTGATTCGATTTGAAAGTATATTAGAAAGATAAACTATGCATTAATCTCAGTTCTTTCAAGATCTACGCCTCAGACGTATATTTTCAACTCCAAAATATGCATTTCAATGACTTGTAAAAATTTACATTGTATATCTACCTATAGCTATTATATAAAACAAGTGTAAACACATCTTGCATAGCATTATTTTAACTTTGTTACATCATGGAAGTGGGTGTAGGTACATAAATATTCTCCATCGTATCTGGGAATATTAAAATACGTTACAACAAACGCACAAATGTGCCTCGAACAAAATTACACAACGATAAAAACATAAAGAAATTTATATGTAAGCATTGGACAAACACATTGTAACTCATATTGGTCTGTTCTAAACACAATATTTGAGGGTATCGGTGTGGTTGGGTGTGAGTAGATGGGTGTGCATGTGCGTGTGGGCAGAGCCTGCCAGAGGGTACGAGGATTGGGGTGTGGGTGTGACTAGTAGAGGTGGAAAGTTGCTGTTACTGTTCCCAGGTAACGGTAACGGAGCAGTTACCAGTTATCCCGGAACTGGTAACTTTTTCTGTAGCCTCCGTTACGATTCTCCGGTAACAGTCTGGGAATGGTAACTTCCCACTGCCGCTGAAGGCTGCTGATGCTGCAATATAAAGTAAAAAAAGTTGTTACCAATATGCCTTGTGTAACGAAGGACGCTTACATTTACGTCGTACACTCATGATTGCTTCTTGTTTACTTTTTTATCATTTTTTTCTATGATCTTCTTTTATCTACTGCGCACTTATATTATACTAAATAAATGGAAATTTAATAAAAAAATACAAATCAACAATATTGACATAGAAGGAGAACGAAAAATTCTTCTTATGCAGTACAGCATTACTGAATTTTACTTTTTTTTACACAATCAGTTGTTTGGCAGACAGAATAAAATAAATCTTTACTCATGATTGGTTTGGTTTGATCTCCCGAGCAGTGTAGAAAGACAAGTAAGAGGTAGTCTTGATCGATTTAGCTTCATGTGAATACTTTCTGTTATCGTTTTAAAACTGATCCGAACCCGCCTAGCAACTCTCGTTTTCTAGCTGAACTGTGAATGACCCAATTCCAAAAAATGATTGTCTGAACAAACTCGACATGAACCCAGATGAACTGTAAATGAAGTCGGACGCGAAGTTTTCTGGACCAAGAAAGGGTGTGGATGTGGGTGTGGGTGTGGGTGGGTGTGGATGGGTGTGGCTATGTGTGTTGCTTATCTTCACATCCACACCGACACTCACACCCACACCCTGAAAAACAACCGTGGAAATTTTTATTTTTTTGGTTTTTAAGAAGCAATATAAAACACAACTTTTGAATGATACGTAGATCTAGAACGAAGGCCTATAAAGATCATTTATTTTGATCTTGTTGTTTGCTGACTGAGGATAGGAGAGGATATGTAGTTTTTCTCTACCAAGTAAAATTTTCAGACTCTTTCACTACATAATGTACTGAATGCAATGTAGCAAGCGATACGAATATTTGTAAATCATTACTGAAAATACAAAAAAAAAATTAAGAATGTTCTCTCTCACGATGGAAATATTTCAAAACAAGGTACTAGGTGCCGTTCGATAGAACGCATTCTACTGTACGGATACACTACTCGTCGAAATTTTCGAACGTCTATTTTTATGCTCAATTATGTTACTTATTAATAAGATGTCGATTGTAATCTATCAAGGTGTTCTTTAAAATACTTCGACAACCAAGCTATTGAAGAATAGAAAATATGATTTTGTCCGGTTTTTAGTATTCTTTTTGACAAGGTCCTCGAAAGTCAAAAATTATGTATACCAAAATGTAGCCTATTCCATTTTATATATAATGGTATATTTTTCAAATAGCTTCTGTTGTGTAATAGTAGCGCTATCGACTAAATACTAAACCTCAGCTCTGATTACACACGTCTTTCAAACAATATGTCTTATCTTGTTTCTTGAAAGTACAGAAAAAAACAAAGGTGAAAAGTATCTTTAAGTTTCAAAAACTACTTTAAATTCTACTTCTTTGAAGAGATCTCGAGCTATGCAACCTTTCTCAAAACAGAATTCAAAGTGAGTTTTACTGTTACATATTCTTTCTCTTTATTAGATCTCAATTTGAAATAAACTTATAGAAAACATAAGATGATTAGAAGTAAAGCGTGTAATAGAAAAAAAAACTATTTGCTTCGCTTGACTAATTAACAGTCATGGACGTCAATGCATGTTGTAAACTGATGTTGTCTTAGTTAGTTTACACACCAACTCATTTAACATTTTTTTAGATGTCGCGATAAGGGATGTAATTAAAGTCAATGGTGTGTCGAATAGTCGAAACAGCGATTCATTATCGTGTCTCTCGTCATTTACATGAAAGAACAGCTTCGTTGGAGAAAGAACTCCCAAATCATATTTACTCTCACAAAATATGTTGCTTTCACGATTGCAAGCAATTTGATAAATTCTTCTGCAACATAATAAGGGATATACGATGAAGTTTATCGAAATTATACATAAGATAGAAAGAAGAAAATATTCGCCATCAGTCTTCTTCTTTATAACATATCTGTACGCGTTTATGATAATAAAATCATCAAAGTGAACAAACGAATTCTATTGACTAATCTTGTAGGATATTAATCACCAGCTGTTTGCACCTTCAAGCAGTGTAGAATTAGAAATTTTTGAGATTCCTCAAAAACATCCGGTAACTCAAAAACGTCTTTTTCACGAAAAATGCATTGTTATTGAGAGTGTGAGTGCTTGGATGAGAAGACCTATTTTTTCTTTCGGTGTGATCAATGACGATACTTCGTAGTTTTTTTTCTATGACTGTTTGTGATTTTGTTAAGTTCCATCTGATAATCGAGATAAGGTTTTTATGGATCTTCATGAATATTCCTTTTTTATTCTTCATTGGCACATTTGTATGTATTGACATCCATAGTTCTACATATAAGTGAAATAAAGAAAAAGCAGATCCTTCCAGTTTCATAATAAATTTGAAAAATTTGTTTTTATCCATTTTTTGCCTCTTGAGCTTCTGACAAAAAAAGATGTGATGATTATAAAAAATGTCTGCTAATTATATATACGCGATTTAACCTTTTTTTGTTGATGTTGTAAATGATTAAGTAAAAAAGGCAAGTAAAAAATAGTGTTCGACATTCGAACACTATGCCAATTTCACGAAGAACATTGAATTTATACTAAACGTATCAATTTACCTGAATCCACTCGACATCCGTCCTTTACTTTACTCATAATAATTATTTTAAGTAATAAATTAAATAGTTTACATAAATTTTTCAATGTACTACATAAAATGAATGGATTGATTTAGAAAGAAAATAAATGAAAAAATATTTTTCTATAAATTGTTGGTCGTACACTTGAATTATATCGAAAAGATAGAAGTAAAACAAAACTTCAATCCTATCTTTAATAAAGATCAAACACTTGATCAACAATGTAAGAATATTGAAATTTTTACAGAACGGTTAGTTTGATTATATTATGTTGTATAAATTATTAGATAAATTTTTTTTAATGGTAAAATTTCATAAACAGCAGTCATGAGCTAAATTAGAATCTGATCGGATGAGTTATAAAACCACAAAAAGTGAAGAAGAACGAGTATAGACTACATTAAAAAATACAAATAGAGAAAAGAGAAATCAATCTGATTTCGATTTATGAAAACAACAGTTAACCAAATAAACCTTTTTTGGCAATCATCATTAAGATTCGGTCGATGCGAATCGAATATTGAATTTAATACTATGGCTATAATAGTATTATGCTAGGTAAGAACTCATTGTTTGATCGATATACAGGGATTTCTTAGTCTCCCAAGAGGGGACTTGTGCATTCTGCGCTTGAAGTTATTTAGTTCATCTCGTTCGATTGACTTTGTTCAAATGTTGCCAGTCTCATTCTTAGCTAAATTATATAGTGAATAGAACTACTATGTCATCTATTTCTTGAACCTATATATAAAATAAATAATCGATTGTATTTTGTTGTTGTAATCAAAACTTATTTTTTTATTTTTCAGGTTCACAGTTTTATATTCTTACAGGTTAAATCAATCTATGATTTTCTCATCATGACAATGAAATAGCTCTATCTGAAACTTACTATAATAGTGATTAAGCCTAATTGGTCAAAAATACCTTGACAAATTTATTTGATTCTGGCAACAAGTGCTTGAACCAAACCACAATTTAGTATTGTAGGATTTACATCTACTGACAAAAGAGCTTATTTAGATTCAAAATAATTGGATAGTAAATTTTGAATTTGTAGGGGGTGAGTGTGGATGTACTTTCGGATGCGGATGTAGGTATTTGTTTGCAGGTTTTATGT